ACTCAAAAAAGAGTGAATGCAACTGCGCTATTGAGGAAGATTTTCAGCAACATCTCTAACAATCTCAACCCGCTGGTTCTTAGCGTCCAACCGAGCAGTCTACTCCTCCAAACGTGACTCAAACCAACAGTCAAGACTTCATGTCTGGCGGCCATAAAGAAGGACAAAGCGGATTGGTGCACGGTACAAGCATCATTCGATCGATAGCCAGCTATCACATCTACGCCAAGAATGACGTATTTTGGCAAATGACACACGAGACCCGTGTATTCGTGCTGAGACTTTGTCAGCTATCAGTCCCAAATAAGTGAATTAGTTAACTCGCTCAAACATTTCACTCTGTATCTTTAAGCTAGAAATCGGCTCAGACCAGCCCTGAAGCATCATGTTACATTTAACAGGAGAGTATGACATGCCAAATATTTAAAGGTTTCTGTTATAAGTGTTCAGAAGACTCCACACTTTCTCAGCATATTCACCTGAGAGGATAATATCGCCAGTATCCTCAAAATCGATAAGTGTTCCCTGGTAGTGTTTCAATCCAAGTCGCTAAAAAGTTAGTTAGGGTCAATTCCATTAGTACGTCTACGATTAAATTAAACCAAAATAAAGACAGTAGACCCCACTGATGGTCACTACTAGTTGCCATCACTTCAGATAACAACCAACCGTGAGTTGTTTAGGTTCAAATAGAGTGACCTTTAAGGTCAAATACTTCCAAAGCCCTTCTCGGTCGACGGAGTTGTATGCCGCCTTCATGTTAACAAATATGGCAGGTGTTAGACGCCGGTAAATACGATTATATTCCCGAATCTGTTGAAGGGTTAAGATATGAAGCGAAAGGATACTGATAATGAATTTCACTTGAACGCACAATGACTACAGTTTAACACAATTTTAATGAACTTGAAGTAATTTAGTCCCTCATTATCATTAAGACGACTGCCTGATAATTCTTTCTACGTTCAGTGCAGTAAACGACTTAAAATGTCTTTAGCAAACTTAATATAAATAACTTTTTAGTGCTTTTAATCTATGCACTTACACAGATACATGGAAACTGACATTAGACATCTTTGAACTACATGAAAAACACATCTACGCAAACTTAAATTTACCAATCACAATGTGTATAGACGACACTCAAGTGCGCAGCCTTCTCATAAACAGTGTGCTGCCTTTATCCACTGTCGTCTGTTTGACGAATGAAGTTTTGACTAACCCGGTCCTCAGTCATTCATGCGGTTGTCTGCGAAATTTCACCAAGTTAATAAACATTAAATTTTCTTTAACTGCAGGTTAGTAAGAATAAAGTAAAGATAGTGGTTATCATCGATGCATTTTCGTAATCTTCGTTTGTGCGCTCATTGACTGGAATTCTGACGATGCACAAAGTGAGTTTTAGGATTTTCATCATGAGCTGACATTAGTTAGAGAACCATTGGAAAACCTGAGAGTACTGCACAGCTGTTTCGTCCTAGTTTGGGACTCTCCATCGGTACGCATCCACCGGGATTCGAACCCAGGACCTTCTGGTTACAAGGCGAGCTCGTATACCATTAAGCCACTGGGACCCGATCCAATGGTCCATGAATTCTAACTTCTGCCAATTCACGACATAGCGCGACTCCTAGCCAATGTCTTCGGCGAGTATTTGTCCTCACGCCCGACCTGCTGCACCCTACTGGTCACGACTTCTCACTAGAACCCCAGGCAACTACCTACCTGAATAGGGCAAGTCACTAGTGAGTTTTGCCAGAAGCTATCTTGTGTTCTGAGAAATGCAAAACATTTAGAAATAGTCTTATAGGCAGTTAGTTTTAACGCCTGGGTAGAGGAGTTGGGCCAAATATAAATTCATATTGAGGGCATCTATAATGGCCCGTGCTGAAGAACCGACAGCTGTGATCGTCTATTATAATTTTGTTCAGATAACTATCCACTCTTTCCCGGCACTAAATTCAAGCATAAGGACAGACATTGTCTCATCTGACGACTGTCGACAAAAAGCCATTGGATACAAACAAGCCAATTTGTGATAAATCATCAGCAGAACACCCACTTAGATTCCGACGATACATTAATTAGGCTGTACACATATGCACTTGCGACTGAAAATATGTAAAAAACAAGCAACTATAGACCCCTTAGGTGTTTAGTCTTCCTAGTCAGCATATGACTTCTGTATTAAAGAAAGAAATAACTAAACGCATCTGCATTTGACAGCAATATTTGTCCTGAGAATGCCTAGCATTGGAACCAGTAGCCAAGGCTATTGATAACCAGTAGTTGAGGTTATAAAAGTAACCTCAAAGCAATAGGAACTTATGTTACGACTCCAGGAGTGTTTAAGGGTATCGGTGATGAATTATGCACTAGATTAACTAAGGTACTATTACCCAGTGTATGGGAATATAACAGCCTCATCTCTGGGGTAGAATGTTCACCATACTAGTTTATAGGAGAAGAAACAAATCTTATAGCTACAATCATATAGAGATCAGTTCAACAAACATAGTAAACACGATTCTAGGATTCATAGTTCTGCGAAGACTAAGCTGGGTTCGCGAATGAAAAGGTCGAAAACACTAGGCAGGTTTCAGGGTGCAGTCAAGAGTGCACTGAAAAAATCACCTTTCAACAGGTTTTAGAAAGAAGAAACAATTACCAATGTTCAACAGCCGTCATAATTACTGACCTAAATACAAAAGTGAATTCCATTAGTCATTAGATGTTATGGTTATGTTTAGTGATGAAGTGAGTACATAGAAAGTACTATTTACTTACTTTACAATATGAGCACCAGAAAGTTTATCACCTGAATCTAGGCACTCTATTTGAATTGCTGTAGGCATGTAAAAGCTTACGCTGAGTTTTTATCTGGCTTGACTACAAATGATTGTGTCCGTCAGGGATGTCTAATGTTACAGTTTTCATATGATTTCATTATAGATGAAATGATAGGTATAACTCTCCTAGAACTCGACATCTCACATTTTGACTTGCTATCAGATAAAGGCTTCATTAACTTGTAGTACGCAAATGATATTTTCCTTCTAGGTAAAGACTAAAACAAAGTGTAAAGTCTTATAAATGCCTGGTATAAAAGTGTTTGTATATTTGATATTCGGGACCACCCCTAGTCAAATGTAAGACGGTGGTACAGGAATTATCTGCACCGATTCCAAGTTCAAAGATAGAGCGAAGTTGTATATTGTGACCACTTCATCACTGGAAAGTTGCTTTAGTCCTGGTTGATTGGTTGCTGACGGAACCTCAATAAGGTTACAAAAAGGACTCTTTAGCATTTATCAATATGCATCATCAATGACTCAGACTTTTTAAGCGGCTTTCCATCAAACAAGTCAGTATAATGTATGTTTAACCTTTGTACAGTCAAAATATTTATTATGCTTCGACCTCGGCGTCGGGATCTGGCTTGTATGTTTCAGTGACCCGGCGAGCTACACCGGCTAGAATGTTTCTGTAAGTCTTATCATACTAGAAAGGTCATTTTATTAGCGGTTAGACTAAAAGCACTTACTAACAAACTAGATATGCTACCTCTCCACTCTGAGGAGGGTTGGGGGTTAAAATGCGTCGAACTCGGAAACTGCACATTCCTACTTGTTCTACAGCAGTCCATAGTCAGCAGTCATACGGACAAAAATCTGAAAACCACTTAAAAAGAGAGGCGTGTGACTTGCCTTAAGAAATTGTCCCCCTGGGTTCCCCTCCTTCTGTTTCAGGTATTCCAGGGGAAAAATCAATTAACACGGTGTGGACAGCCAGGTGGTGATGACCGCCCACACACAAACGCAGAAATGCACAAACCTCTTCCATTTTTCTGTATATCTAAGGTTTTTAATATGGATAGAATTCGGGTTGCATCTAAACTGTTCAACCTATTCAAAGATATCTTTTGTCAGCTTAAGGACCAGATAGATCCAATTTAGAAAAATATAATTTACTAAGTAACATGTAATGACTGCTAGTCGATCGGTTTCAATTTGATTATCAGAACATAAAAATTTCGTCAAAGCTATTGGTCCTTGTAAAGCTATTGGCCCTTGTAAATTAAGTAATCTGGAAAATATCTTGGACATTACAATGCATTCACTCGCATTTAATCACACGATAGGATGGGACAGAGTGAGTGTTATAAAGTAATATAGTTAGGTGGAGAGAGAGAGGTTAATCATCGAGTCTTTGTTCATCAGATCAACACTAAACACGTGCAATCGAAATGATGCAACATCTATCTCAGATATATAGAAAATTGTAATCAAAGACAGCAAAGAGCGACGCCATGTAAAGGAAGTCAGGAGATCGCGTGAATACATTGATAGGATTATGGGCAATAAATTGTTCTCAAAACGTTATACACGTACTAACAACACTATATTACAATATAATATTAAACAAAGTTATCAAATATGGACTTGTTCTCTTTTTTACTGAAGGTCACTAATCAATACGGTCGAACCGATTCATCACAGTTTTATGATACTTTTAATTTAACTAGACTAAAGAGAATGAATGAACAAATTGAAGTGTTTGATGAGGTTGTTACTTCCCGGCTTTCTACACCGTGTAAATTGACTTCTTCTTGAAGTGTCTGAAAGGGAAAGGCAATTAGTGTTGCATGATCGTAGAGCCCAGGAGACAAGTACTTGTGGCTGATTATGCGCATAGTCTGTTTGGAATGGTTCTAGTCGTGTCTTTACAGAGACCATACTACAGGGTAAGTCAAGATTTACAATTTACAAGGGGACAATCTTTCAAAACCCCAACTCCTCAGAGTAGACAACCAGAATAGTTAAAATAGCAAAAGCATTTTTATCTAAACACTATCCAAGTGACCATTTTAGCATGGTACACACTTTTGAGAAAAAACTGATGAGTTAACGCATACACAAAACCCCTTTTACACTGAATAATTGAAATAAAGTAAACAAACTAAGAGAAATAATAGTAATAATGAATAACTATTAACTTACCCTATCAATATCACTTATAGAATTTTGTACAACAAGAATATGAGATATACAATTTGCTATTAGTTCCTCTTCATTTTTAGCATTATCAAAGCCTCCAATGTATAAGCCAGGCAATATTTTAGTCATACTACCACCCATTTTCTTTCTTAAAAAGTAAAAACGAGAGAAACGCCATTTAATTACTTTTATCAATATAACAATATAGTATATATATATATATATATATATATAAATTATCAGGACACAAACTTTGTGCCTTATGGGTACCAAGTGATGCGCAACACAAAATCTAATATTTTGTGTGAGGCATGGCATGCTGCATGCACCCCCAAACCGAAGCAGGCATCTGCCTTAATCAGTCATCCCCGCTCAACCTATGATATGTTTTTATCCACAAGGCAATGAATCAATGCCAGAAGCTACGTTCCCATGGTTTCCGTTCTGATTCTGGAGCGCACACACAGGTTTGGAATCGGGGTTTTCCAGCCATCCACCAAGTAGACGAGTATGTCTACCAATCCGGTTGCAAACGCCAGACGTTAGCATGTTCTTCAACTTTTGTGAAGAACACTCTCACCGCGTAAAGGCAGTGAACAGGAGTTATTTGGCAGAGGCTATGGCTGCATGTCCATACGAGAGCATTTCGTGAGGAAGACCGAAGTCCACCGCCATCCTGGGCGTATTTATACACATAAGTATTTTAAGCAAGAGGTAATACGACTTCAGTGTGATAAAAGTATTTGAGATTCACCATAAGTTAACTAAGAAAAAGTTTTTATTACGTTTGCATTCAAAATTATCCTCTGAAACTCTTATACTTATAGTTTACGTCCTTTCCTGTCATATCTATTGGTGAAACATTCAAACGACTGACCCAAGACTTTGATTAGTAATCCACTTCAATAAAGAACTCAGACAGTAAACAGACGCTGGCATTCAATAAATGGTTGAATGGAGTGAGCCAGAATATTTGAACACAAGAATTTAACCAAACATAGACTGACACTTCTTTGTAATCTAAGTAATCCAACAAAAACATCAATACTGAAGAGATCTTCAAATAACATCACACGTTATGCTATCGGATGGACAATGATGAATTGAGTATCTCAGTGTGACATGGAAATCATGTGCGGAGGAAATGAAAGATTGCGGGGAGTCGTAGAGCCAACTAAAAAAGGCGGCAGAGAACAGAGTGAAACACAAATGTGTTGCTGAAGTCCTACGTTCTACTCGGAAAGCAAAGCATGCACTGACTTATAATCACGCTATACGTTAGGATAGGACGAAAGGCCTAAAATCCAATTTAGTTAGGTAGAAAGAGCGAGGCGGGGGATTGATTACTGAGTATTTGCCTATCGAATCAACGCTAAGTATTCGCAAGGTGAGTGACTCTATGGTATTTGCAGATAAACGAAAAGTCTCACTAACCCAACATACATTTATCTCAGTGTAGTACCAAAAGGAGAGATGAGTAAGGAATACAGACCAAATTAAGCGTTTTGAAAGCCAGTGACGACATCAATAAACATATAACACATTGCTGATTTTTTTTGCACGTCTGCTAAGTAACGTATTATGACACAGCACTTTTGATTTCTTTGGAGCTAATTCTTTTAAGTCACTCATACAGGAGACATTACTTGATGAAATTCAGCCAGACAGAAAAACAATCGCCTTTAAATTCTGAGAATCGAAAAGAACCAGACGTCAGTGGTTGGATGATTCAGTCACGCAGTAATTATTAGCAGAAAGTTAATGTATGATGTTTTTTTTCCTTCACGTTCCCCAGTGGAACATAGGGCTTCAAGCTAGAGGCTTGAAGTTTCTGTAGCAGTGTTTATTTTACAGGATGGGGTTGCTAGCTTCATGCCCAACCTTTCCTCTTCACCAGCATTATTTCTGGCTTAGCGAGGCTTGGGAGTGCGTCGCCCGGGGATCGAACCCCGGACCATGTGCATGGTTGGCGAGCGTCCTAACCGCTATGTATGATAGCTGCAGTGATCGACGGAAAGCTACTCTTTTTTCAACTTCTCAGTACGTTTAAAATTGTAAAACAACCACATAATTTTAACACCATCTTCATTCATACCAAAGTGACTATAATTGGTGAGTTCTTTTAATCCGAAGATATCGTACCCAAGTGTATGCCATCGAATAACAGTAATGGTTTTACAGTGGCATTTACACAAGCAAAAGAGTTACGCCATGTGGTAAGACTTGCCATCACCATGTTCAAAACACGTATTAGATGCAGTAAGATGCAACAAATATTTTTTTTCTAATCAGTTATGTTGTCAACGTCTTAAACTTGCGCTTGTTTCGACCGATGAAGACTATTTTGTGGGCGGGGAATGACGTCAGACTGCAATGAAAGTCAGTATCAAATGAAACGGGAGCTGATGTTTCAGTTAAGAACTAAACACGTAATATATTTGACAATGCGGATTTGTTTAAAACAAAGGAATGTAACATCTAGTTGAGTGAATGAGGTTAGATGAGTACAGATTGTTAGAATACTACAGTTATATCCAATAATGTCTGACAGAGCAAGATTCATAGATGAGAAATCATGCAGAATGTTATAACAAGTACGCATGTCCAGGTTCTTCATTACGTTGATCTTCAGTAACAGCTCACTACGCTCTAATGTCCACTATCGTTTTTCACCAGCTAGTGCGGCAGTAGCACAGAGTTAGAGTGCTCACCAACCACAAAGGTGGTTAGGGGTTCGACCCCCGGCCTACGCACTCCTTTGCCTCGCCAAACCAGTAATGATATTGGTGATGAGAGGAGGTTGAGCATAGGGCTATCAACACCATTCTGTGAAAATAAACACCACTGCTACCGAAACTCCAAGGCTCTAGCTCGAAGCCCTATGTTCCACTGGGGACGTATAGGAGTAAAATGATCCTCTAAAATCAAATATCATATTTTACGAGCTAGTGTGAACCAATTCGATTTCTTTGTGCTCGCTTTCGGTTGTGAGGTAAAGCTTTCTGGTCTTTTGTAAACTTTTGAGAAGTTTGTCCCTCCTCTCGACTGTCGTAGCTTTGGCTGACTCCAAAAGGAGTTCACTAATATATTTAGTTCTTGGTGTGAAGCCAGCCTGTCACTACTATCAAGTAAAGCATACCAAAATTGCTGTGAAATGAAATGAAACCCTAAGGTATGCTATTTCACAACATACAGTTAAATAAATACTTCAATATAAATCATAACACAAACGAATACAGTTAGTTTCCCGAAACTCCCGGAACACCACAGACACTGGTAGCAACAAAACTGAGCAGCTAACTCCATAATCCCCATGTGAGGCTGAAGGTTCTTCGTGGTTTCCCCGCTAAAAGTTTCTGTAGTTCTCCCGAATTTCGCTAGCTGGGTACATTGTTACTATATGACTCCATTACATCAAAAAAACATCATAATAACTGCGTAAAAACTAGTTTATCCATAGTCTTATATCTTTTAAGAGTGCAATAATATGCTAAGGACAGTTAGTCACTTGTAAATGACTACCGATCTAGAACCGAGCACAAAAATACCGGAACGCACTGCTTGAAATATCGGTGTCATTACATACAATATTCAATTTCATTATGGTGATACTGACTTTACAAGATCCAATATCCAATATCCTGATTACGAGCTAGTATAAACCAGTGATTTCTTTGAGCTCGCTTCTTGATTGTAAGGTAGAGGTTCCAGATCTTCGGTGATGCGTAATAAATCCCGCCACTCGACTGCTTTAGCTCTGGTAGACTCCAAGAGGAGTGGTGCGAGGAGTGGTCAAGATTGTGGTTTGTAGTGTGCAGTATGTTAGGACTCAGCTGCTGCCGTGAATGGAGTTTGACCTAACACCCGATGGTCATTCGGTGTAGTCATAAAAGTAGAATAATAATAATAAAAATAATATTAATAGGTTGTAGTGTAGATAATATAGGTTGAGATATCCAATATCCAATATCGTTTTTACGAGCTGGTACATCCCAATTTCATTTCTCTGTGCTCGCCTCTTGATTGTGAGGTAGAGGTTCCTGATCTTCGGTAAACGTCTGTGTAGCTCGTCCCGCCACTCGACTGTCGTAGCTTTGGTTGACTCCAACAGGAGTAGTGCTGGGGTTAATTATATGGGATTTGTAGTATGAAGTGTGTTAAGACTGTTACTACTGTGAATGGAGTTGATCCTTTCGCCAGTTAGTCCTTCGGTATCGTCGTCAATGGAAAAGAGATAATAATAATAGATATAATTAGTAAAGGTATTCAGACTAACAGACAGAGAAAGGATAAGAAAACGTAACAACAGTCAGTCAACCGGTACACATATATATATACCAGTAATAACGATAATAATAATAATAGGTGTAGTTAAAGCTGTCAGGAGAGTAAGACGAAAGAGAATGTAAAGAAGTAAAACGACCAGTTTAATTGTCTACCTTTGAATGGTATGTGCGATTTTAAGAGGATAGGCCATTTGGATGCAGTCCTTGTGTCGCTGCATGGTTGTACAGCCTTCGCTTAAAGGCGTCCACACATGGTGCCATAGCTACATCTGCCGGTAAGGAATTCCAGGGACGGCAAACCCGCAGGGAAAAGAAGTGGGAGCGCACCCGGGTCCTTGCCCTCTGATGAGCTATCCTTCTAGGATTTCCACGAGGGGGAGCCTATACCTACTCAATGGCAGAACACCTTTGTTTGGGTGATTCTGATCATTTGTTATTTTGTAGGCAGTGATTAAATCCCCCCTCAGGCGACGGTAACTGAGTGTGAATAGGCCTAATTTCTTCAGCCTTTCATCATATGGTTTATTTCGGAGACCAACCACTCCTTTTGTTGCCTGTCGTTGGACTCTTTCCAAGAGGTTGGCGTCTCTTTTAAGCAGTGGGGTGCAATGATATTATGCACTTCAAGATGCGGTCTGACGTATGTTTTATACAACCTTGGAAAGAGCTCAGGAGTGAGTGCACCTAATTGTCTATGTGTAAAGTGTATGACCGCATATGCCCTCGCTACATCCCCCGTGTAATTCACGCTTGTGTCCATTTTCTCCGTTAGAACTAGACCTAAGTCACGTTCCGACGTTGAGCAGGACAAGCTTTCATTGCACAGGGTGTAACTTGCATTCTGCAGTCTACAGGTGCGTAACTTCACTACTTTGCACTTTTTCAGGTTGAAAGTCATGCCACTGGTTACCGCCCAGTCTTCCAGAAGCCTTAGATCTGCCTGCAGTCTATCTGAGTCCTCCGGACACTTTATCGCCCTCCATATCTTTACGTCATCAGCGTATAGAAGAGTCGGGCAGTTTAGACGGCATGGTAAGTCATTGATAAAAATCAAGAACATCAGTGGTCCTAGTATAGAACCCTGCGACACTCCTGATGACGAGCTGTGCCAAGATGATCGAACTCGATTGACCTTGGTGCAAAATTGCCTTTCAGTTAGGTAGTCCTTCAACCATGACAGAAGTGGTTTACCTAGACCTACCTGGCTTATTTTGTGTAGGAGAAGGTCATGGTGAACAGTGTCAAATACCTTCTCAATGTCTAGAAAGATCACATGGACAGGAACATTCATATCACAGCATGATGTCCAGTCGTCCCAAGCTGATAGTAAGTTAGTGACGCAGGATCTTCCTTTCCTGAAACCGTTTTCGGCTTCATGGAGTATTTTAGACCTATCGAGATATTCCCTGATGTGGTCATCAATAATACTTTCCAGTACTTTCGATACCACTGGGAGTAGAGTGAAATAATAAAGGTGAAATAATAAAGAAAAAAGAAAAGATAGAGTAGTCGGTACAGTGGGAGAAGACAGGACGGGTCGTGGGCATTTAGCTTGTATGCTTATCCATTGACAATGTGGTTTCAAATTTTAAGAGGGTAAGCCATTGAGACACAAACCATGCATTTCTGCATGATTGTCCAGCTTACGCTTAAAAGTCTCCACAGATGGAGCTGTAGTTACGGCCGCCGGTAAAGCGTTCCGGAGACGGCAAACTGTTTACTTTTGTTTTCAAAATGAATAAGTGAAAAGAATAGGTTTTACTTATTTTGTTCTGGGTGGAGGTTTTAAGTCACTATAAATTATATAAAATAATACCAGCGTGTTTAAGAAAAGTTCAAAACAAATCTTGTTTTGATTTTATATAATTTATGATGATTCAATCTGACTCGGCACTCGAATCATTCCAGGAATTACGTAACATCTACGGTCTGGAAACTCATGGCAGGTTT